GCTACAGCGCGCGCCGGCACCTTTGTGCGTGCAATTGAAGAGCACGCGCTTCGAGCACAGTACCGTTTCCGCGCTTGCTTGACTCGCGCCTGGCACCGAAGTGAAGAGGAGCGTGCGTCTGAAACGTCTCCCGTTCTCAGTCGTTCTGCGACTGAATAAATGCACTTCTTGTCAAGAGAAAAAGTGACAGAAGCAGCAGTTGTGAGTGGAGTGGCCAACCCTAGCCCCGCCCCTGCGGATATTGTTTAACGCGTTAAACTGAAAAAAATAATCGCCTGCGTTAACGCGCTAATTTTTACACCACTAATATATATATATATATATATATATGTATGTATGTATGTATGTATGTATGCATTATTTATTTATTTATTTCAAACCCGGAAGTGCATATACTTAATTTGCCGGCAACCCGCCAAAATAAAAGCCTGCTGATTTTAAGTTCGAAAATGATGAAAATTTAAAAAAGAAGTAGTAAATATTAACATTTTATTTTTAAGTTTACTATAAAGTAATTGTAATTGTATTTAATACTTCCCTTTAATTTAAAAATATAACAGTATTATCACACTTTATTTTTTAGTTTATTAATTTTTTTTTTTTTTTAAACTAAATAAATAAAGTGCAATATTATTATCAGTCTTATTAATTTATTCTTTTTTTATAGTTCAATTTAATGGGTAACAGTATATGCAGTGTGAGGACCAAACCAAATCTCCAGGTTCTCATATGAGAACCAGGCTGAAAAACGTATGTGCACCCCTGGTTATTATTACTGTATATATATATTCAAGATTATATGGTTCAAGATTATTCTATTCAAATGAATGTGATAAACAAGTTAGGTCATCTAATAAGTAATCTAAAAGTAGTCAGAATATATAACCTAATACGTGTAATACAATAGAATACGTTACTAACAACAACTTCTATCATCTTTGCTATTAGTAACTGACTATAATTAATCTACCCAGCACTGTATCAATGTCAGTGACATTTGTCGGATATTACAGACATTTAATGGGTTTTGTAACAAATATATATAGTATATTAGCCAGCTCAGAAAAGGTAGACCAGCAGGACAGATGACCGTCCAATATCCGGTCACCCTAAAGTGACCACAGCAGACCTGAGCCACCTGTATTGCCAACTGTACCACTGCTGAATGTGCCAGCTGAGGCAAAGACTGCATCAGTGCCAGGACAGTGAGGGATGAGCTCTCTACTATTGGCCGGAGAACAGGGTGACCTGTCAGACCTCTTCTGCTCACTCCTCCAAAAACCTCACATCTGACTGTATGGGGCCAAACAGAGGCCACAATAGACTCATCAGCAGTAGCATCAGGTTCAGATGAGCCTCTCTGTGGCCCGTTTTGGGCCAGAGTATTGAGGTGTGCTGATGCCTGGGTTGAATCAGAGCAATAGTGTTGGCTGGTATTCAGGACATGGACTGCATTATAAAGGTGTCATCAGTTTGCAGGGCTATTATCACAGGTACAATCCACCTAAAGCATCCTGATGTTAAGTGTCTTGGTCACGGACACAGTGGTCATAGTTAAAGTATAGGCTATATAACTACATGGCAAAATTAACTATATTTTAGCTTAGTTGTGATCTTAAAGTCCGAATTAAATGCAATAAGAGTGGGAAACAACAATAAAAGGATGATAAATTAAGTAAATGTAAAAAAAAAAAAAAGTAATTATAATAGTGCAGTCAATCGATTAAAAATATTTAACTAATTATTTGCACATTTTTGTTTCTGAAATTAATCACGATTAATCCCTCCTAACATTAAAGTTTTTAAATATACTTTTATATTGCAATAATTTCGTATTCAATCTTCAAATTAATGTAGAAACAACATAAAGACAGTATATTTTTATTATTTGTTTAATGCCATCTTTTTTGACTGAAGGCGAGTATCACTGATACTGATATTACTGATGTCTCTAGGAAATTGTTCTTTTTTTCCTAATATTTAACCACTATACCAACATTACAGTATAATTGAGAGCTATCAATTTTAACCTTTATTAGACTTTAAAAAATAACACCTTCTAATTTAAGTGAACTTAAATCTTCACATAAACCCATTATAATAAATGTCATTTTTACCTGTGCCCTTCAGCAAGAATTAATCACACATTTTTTCTGAAATTAATTACGATTAATCCCTCCTAACATTAAAGTTTTTAAATATACTTTTATATTGCAATAATTTCGTATTCAATCTTCAAATTAATGTAGAAACAACATAAAGACAGTATATTTTTATTATTTGTTTAATGCCATCTTTTTTGACTGAAGGCGAGTATCACTGATACTGATATTACTGATGTCTCTAGGAAATTGTTCTTTTTTTCCTAATATTTAACCACTATACTAACATTACAGTATAATTGAGAGCTATCAATTTTAACCTTTATTAGACTTTAAAAAATAACACCTTCTAATTTAAGTGAACTTAAATCTTCACATAAACCCATTATAATAAATGTCATTTTTACCTGTGCCCTTCAGCAAGTAGGAAATACACAGAAATTGAATAAAGTTATCAAACACTAAATTCTAAATTAAATAAAGATGAATCCTTAAAGCTACAAAAGTTATTGATTTCCTCTTTTTTTTTCTTTTGTTCTTTGAATAACAGACATCACAGCAGCTGGGTTATTAGGTTATTTGGCTGCTATTACTTTAA